GGGGATTTTTACATGTCTCCCAAGGTCCTCAGTGAGTCGAGATTTGTTGAGCGGTTGGTCGGCATTCCTGTGATTCCTCCTGGACCCGCCCACTTCGGCGAAGGCGAGCCCGGGACCTTCGATTTTTCGTGTTTTCGGGAGGTCTCGGGAAGACCATCAAAGACTGCCACATCCGTTTAGACACGACGTTGAGCTACGCGTCTCAAGGGTCTTGGTTTCCGAAAGCCCCCGCCTTTTACCTCCTATGGCCGTGGTCGGGCCCAGACTTCTGCCTCCGCCCTGGGAGAAGGTGCGTGCGATGGCTAACCAAGCCCTGCATTGCGTTGCGCAGAAGGATGCGGTGGGGGCTGCTGCTTTGCTCTCTCCTTGTTATGCTGCCTGGGCTAACGTTGCCGAGGGAGAGTTGCTCCCTGTCTTAGGCGCCGACATCCCTGTTCTTGGTGCGAGGTCCAAAGGTCCGCATTTGCACTGGAAGAACCTCGTCAGCAGGGACCTCCTGGTCCGAGATCCCCATCACCAAGCTGTGCGGTGGCCCAGCGTCCAGACTAGAGCGTTTCTGTCCCTTTGGAACTCGCGCCAAGGTGACAAGGGGCAGGCGACCAGGCTTCTTGCTGCACTTCGAGCACCGCCTGCCGCGGTGCAGGTGGGAGATCAGCATCGGCCTCTTTTTTTCTGCGGTTGCCCTCGCTGCCTCGAGCTCTGAAGGTCTACTTGATGCTTTGGGGGCATCCTTGAGCTCGAGGATTGACGAGGCTCTGGCTGCGGCCAAGAGCGCTGCCGACAAGGAGTCTCGAGCTAGCTGGCAGGCTTGGATTCGAGGAGGCTTAGACACTGGAGCGAGGAAGGTCCACTGGACCATTCGGGATCCCTCCCCCTGGAAACCGTCGACGACCCTCTCGTCGGAAGGATCCCTGGTCTCTGATCCGCTGTCGCTCCTGTGTGCTGAAGGCTCGGAGTTCTCTGCCTTTTTGGGGACTGGAGTCGGATCGATTCGTGGCGAACCTGAGCTTGTCGACCCCCTCCCTCGTCTCAGCGCTGACGACATTCGTTGTGTCTCGCGTAAATATAAGAAAAACACGGCGGTCTCTTTCGATGGCTTCAACTGCAGGCGCTTTCAGTATTTGTGCGATGACGCTCTCGAATGCCTGGCCGCCCTTTTTGAAGTCATGGAGTGTGTCGGTGATCTTCCTGAGCAGATTTCGGCTGTGCTGCTTGCGTTGCTCCCCAAACCCTCTGGCGGCTACAGGCCGATTGGGGTGTTCTGTTCCTGGTACAGGGTCTGGGGTCGGTGTCGCCGATCTCATGCCCTGGCCTGGGGACAGCAACACCCCCGTCGGTACTGGGCCGCTGGAGAGCACAGGGGAGCAGCTGATGTGGTGTGGCGCCAATCTGCTAGGGCGGAGTGCAGCACGGCGAGCAAAGAGTGCTCTTGTTCGGTCTTCTATGATATGCTCAAGTATTATGAGACGATTGATTTGAGAGTTTTGGAGGCCAGGTGTCGGAAGCACCAGTTCCCGCTGGCCATCGCTCGTGCGTGCATCTTCGCGTTTCGAGCGGGTCGGTTGTTGCCGTTAGGTGGCCTGCTCAATGGTCCTTACCATATTGAGTTTGGGGCGGTGGCGGGGTGCAGTTTCGCCACCACCTTCATTCGCGTTTTTGGCATGGACGCCTTCGACACGATTCCCGTCTCGCCGTCGTCGGAGCTCGACATTTACATCGACGGTAGTGGTATCTCTGCCTCTGGTCCTAAGTCGTTTGTTGTTCTCAGCACTGTGAGGGCGTCCACTGCGCTTCATGCTGCTATCACTCTCATGCTTGGCTGTAGTCTTGCTCTCGACAAGGTTTGCACGGCGGCCTCTGATGTGGAAGTGGGAACTGCCGTTTCCAAGCGTCTCGGGTCCTTGGGGGGCCGTGTGGTTGAGTCGACTCCGAATTTGGGGATCGATTTTTTCCGCGGGCGAATCTATTCGTGGCAAGAAGGGACAAGGGAGCAAAATCAAGGCGCGTGTGGCCGCGATGCTGAGAAAGTCTAAGCGACTTAGAAAGCTTTCTGGCACCCTCGGCAGGAAGAGTCTCAGAATCTTCTCCGCTGGTCCCTTAGCTTCTGGCGCTTACGGTTGTGAAGTGGTGGGGGTCAGTGACACTGATCTTTTGTGCATGCGGAGGGCTGCTTTTTCGCAGGTGAGACCGTTTGCTTCGGGCCGAAGCCTCACGGCTTGCTGTATTATTGCCTCCGACCCGACCTGGAGGGCGGCGACGGCGCCCATTTTGAGATGGGGCAAGGAGGTCTGGTTGTCGCAGACCAATCTCTTCCCTGGGGCGCTGACGCTTCGGGTGCTTCGAGAGGCTTGGCCTGCTGTTTGGGCCAGGCCGAAAGTCACGTGGGGCACTGTGGCTGGACCTCTCAGTGCCATGCGCTTGACGTTGCTCAGGCTTGGCTGGCACATGACTAATGCGATGACCATCATTGATGACAAGGGTAGACCCATCGAGTTAGGTGTTACTTCCCTTGCGTTGTTGGCCATCCACTACCGCGAGGCTCTGCTTCGTTCCTTAGAGAGGGATCTTGGGGATAAATGGGCTGATCGGGGCCGCCTCTGCCTCGACGTTCCCAGGGCCGCCCTCACTTCTAGCAAGTTCCCGGCTCGGGACACGGGGTTGATTCGGGCGCTTGCGTGCAATGCGATCTGGACCCCTGATCGTGCGATTCGTTGCGGATATGAGATTAGCGAGGTGTGCCCTTTTTGTGGGGATCGCGGCAGCCTCCACCACAGGCTGTGGGTCTGTCCTCACTGTGCGGACGTGCGAGCTGAGGTGGCAGACGCCTATGTCATCGCCTCAGCTGTGAACACTGAGGCTGCGGACTACTCGGCCAACTGATTCGGTCATGCGGCTCTCGCCCACCCCGCAGATTTCCTCCCGAGGCCTTTTCAGTTCAAGTGGTTCAGGGGTGAGCTGGACGGGCCTGAGGGGCCTGAGGAGGTTCGCGATGGAGCTATTTGGGGCCACTTATTCTTGGATGGTTCGTGTCACAGGCACATCATTAGAGAGCTCACTAGGGCGTCTTGGGCGATTACTGTGCGTGACACTACTGGTGAGTTGCTCGGTGCTGTTAGCGGTCCTGTTTGGGACCGCTATCCGCAAACCCCTCAAGCGGGCGAGTGGCTTGCTCGGGGGATGGCTGGCACGCTTGTCAGGCATGAGTCATCCGTGTATAGTGACTGCCTTAATGTTGTCAGGTTGTCTAATCTCCCGCTGCCTGCCAGGCGTTATGGTAAGCATGTTTACAGCGGGATCCTCCTTGAGGCTAACGCTCGGGAGGGTCGCTATATAGGAGAAATCATCAAAGCTGAGGCCCACAAGGATCTGGATGAGGCTGGTCTTAGTCCCCAGGAATCCTTCCGGCGCAAGTGTAATAACGACGCTGACGCGGCCGCCAAGCATGCTATTTCCTTTCATCCTGTCGACGCTGACCTCATGGTTAGTGTTGAGTGGCAGATCAAAGTTGCCAAAACGGTGTGCAAGTTGGCTTCTCGCGCGTTGCTTGAGTGGCCTCGTTTGGACCTCTCGGGAGCCCCAAAGAGGAACCTGCTTGCGAGTAAGCCTCCGTTTTTGTCTGTTGCTCGGCCTCATGACTGGGCCGTCTGGTCTGGGATCTGGCGTTGTCGAGTCTGCTTGCTAGGTTGTTGGAGTGCGGTCCCTGCGGGGAGCGAATGTCCTGGCAGTAGCAAGCTCGATGAGGGCGTGCTGGTATCCCATGGCTACCGTGTTCTGGCGCTGCCCTGCTCAGACGGATCACATCTTTTTATTTGCATTCGTTGCAAGCAATACAGCACCGGTGGTAGAGTGATGGGCCTTGGCCCATTATGCCCAGGCAAAGCTTCGCGTGATGGAGGTTATGCCTGGAAAGCGTTGTGTGCTCGAGGTCGTCACCCCAACAGGCTCAGAAGTGCTATTGTTGTTGGCACGCACGCTGTTGTTGGTCTTTTTGGTTCGGACATGCAGACCATTCGCAGCACGGCGGAGAGGGAGGAGTCGTCTCCCCAGTCTACGGACCAAGCTGTTGTTGCACAGCCCCGTTTCAGAGCTCCCCCTCAGGGCGCGTCGAGTGGCAGTGGTGCGTTGTTCTTTCCGTCATCGCCGCCTGCCCAGACGAGGCCCGAGGGGTTTGAGCTCCAGGCTGAAGCAGAGGCCGCTGCTTTTCTGTTCGGCCCTTCTGCTGACCCCACGCCGCCACCCCAAGTCGAGTCGTCGATCAGGTCGTCGTCGTCTTTGGGAATAGTGGCTGGACGTGGTGAGGCGCCCTCTTCTGTGCCCCCCCTGGACCCTCCCGTACGGGACTCTGAGGTCCAGGGTCCATCGCAGCAACTCGGGTCTCTGTGGCTTGCCCACCCGAGGGTTTCACATGCAGGGGACGCCCTGCGTGCTGTTGCCTCTGTCCCCTGTCAAAAGGAGGATGAGCGCCCCCTTTTTCGGACGGAGGTCCAAGACAGCGATTCCTCCGACTGAGGTCCAGGGAACAGCTGGCGCTGGTCCTCGACGAGCTCGTCTCGTCTATTCAGACGTCTTGGTTTTCAAGTCGTTCCTGCACTGTGCCCTGCCCGCACTGCTTGAGGAGCGAGGCAGTGTGGCGTTGAGGCCAAAAAAACCACCATCACCACCACCACCACCACCGTGGCCACCATCATCGTCATCATCAGCATCAGCATCAGCATCAGCATCAGCATCATCACCGTCACAACCACCATCACCATTACCATCACCATCACCACCACCGTCCTCGCCACCAGCGTGTTCGCCACCACCACCACCGCCAACACCATCACAACCACAACCATCGTCACCAGCAGCGTCGCCATCACCACCATCGTCATCACCACCACCACCAGCGTCAGCATCAGCACCATCAGCTCAACATCCGTATGAGCATCAACACCTCCATCGTGATAACCATCGTCGCATAATCCGCGCCACCATCATCACCTCCGCCCCCCTGGGAGGCCGCGCCCTTTCTCTCGCAGTTCGGCGGCGTGCTCGGCGACCTCGCGACCGGGACCCGCGACTTCAGCCCCGAGAAGCCGCAGGCCCGCGGCCGCGGCCGCCGCCGCCCGCCCGCCGCGGCCGCCGCCTGGGATGTGTTCGGGCGCTTTCGCCGTCGTTCACGACTGCGTGGGGCGCTCCAAGGAGCGCCTCGCCTCCGAGGGTCGAGACGTTGCCTTCTTTGGGCCTCGCGCAGCGGGGGGCAGGGAGAGCGGGGCAGGCTTCTCAGAAGCGCCCCTGCTTCGTAGAAGGCGCGGGCCTTGTCTGCAGACGCAAGGACGGCTGCCTTCTCAGAAGTCGCCTCCTGAGAAGCCTTCCCCCCTCCCCTACCCTCTTGTTTGCGCCGCCAATTCTACCAGTATCAAATTACGGGAGCAAAGTGTACTCTCGAAATTCCGTTTTTAGAGTGCGCCAGCGTCGATGAGCGTTTGGTCATCGAAGAGATCGCGCCTACTCAGCGTGGCTGAGCGTCGGCCAGCGTCGATTTGCAAGAGCCAGCAAAATGGCACGGGAGGCTCCCATGAGTTGCCACCGAACTCGCCTCCGAGGATCGAGAGGCTGCATTCTCTTCCTCGGAGGAAGGCCAGCGAACTAAAACACGTGAGCGCCTCTGCTGGCGGAGGGCGGCAGGAAGCCGACGGAGGCGGGCGGAGGTCAAAGATGCGCCACCAGACGATGCCAACATTTTGTGATTCGGGCTTCCTCTGGGGCAGCGTTCGGTGGTGGGATTGGGATTAGATTCAGGGGGGGACCAATCGACCTCCAATCGCCCATTCATCGCCGATGGGGGCCCGATGGCCCAGTCCAGCTCGGGAAGGTGAGGGTTCGCCATCGGCGACCTGTCGCGGATCTATCGGCGATGTATCGCCGATTTCAGGTCGATGCACCCCTGAGCCCGTCCCCCCTCCCCCAGACGTTCGCCCTCAGTTCGGATGTTCAAAGATGGGATTCCTGAGGGATGGGATCCTAAGGATAGGGACCTCGTCATTAGGACCCCACCCCTCGGGTCCTCATCTTTGAACCACCGATCAGTCGGCCCCCCAAAGATGCCCACACGCTGGGAGCCGGGTTGCCAGAACTCCAGCGAGCCCGCGGCTTCGGCCTCAGCGAGGTGCCCCCCCGCCGCCGTCGCCCTCCCGCTTCGTCGCGTCAGCGCTCTCTCGCGATCGTATGTTGGCGATTTTTTCTGGTGTCCAGTGGAGCCCGAGTTGAGACAGCAGCAGTTGGCTTTCGGGGGGCCCTCGTCGCCACAGCGGGACGGAGCTCGGAAAGCTAGTGCGGCTGCACCCGTGGAGGGGTCCGGGGACCGAATTTGTGTCGCCGTTGTCTGAGCTCGCCACGCTCCGAGTCCAGGGCTCCGTCGCCGCCCATGCTTTGCTTGCTTGTCGGGAGGTGGCCCGGGTCACGCGCGCTCACAGCTGGAGCACCACATTGCGATCGGATTGCTGGAGAGCGAACGCGAGGGCGGCCCATGCATACTGGAACGAGAAGCTTGTTCCCTGTGCTGATCAAGCCGCGTTTGCTGAGGGGGCCCCGCTGCTGCTCTGGCAAGAACGTGTACCACCGCAGCCCAGCGCGCGCAGCCGACGCCGCGTGAGGTCGCAGCATCTCTGCCCGCTTGTTTGACGCTCAGTTTTTTGTTTGATATCCATACATGTAGATATGTGATGTGTGTGATTATGCACTATTTCTTTACTTGTTTCTCTCTCTCTCTCTCGTACTGTATGTAGATGTACACACATGCATACACACATATACACGGGCGTTAGCCACAGTTCCGATCGATGTGGATCAAGTTGAGATGCGGCGGTCGGTGTTTCGGGTGGTCGTGTCACTTTCGAGCTGATCTTGGGCCTGGGGGCCCAAGCCCTAGCGTTCCCCGCTCTCGCCCCTGCGAACGTCGCTGACGTCGAAACGTGTTGCCAGCTCGTACATGTCATTAAAGTGCACCTCTATATATCTCTCTCTCTCTATATATATATGTACGTATACATATAAACATACTTTCACGTATACATCTACCCCCCGCATACGCCTCCCCCTCGGCAACATAAATTTTCCGGGAGGTATCCATAGGTCCCCAGAGGCATTGAGAGATTTCCGAAGCGTCCTACAAGCCAGCAAACACAATGAAGTTTTTGAGCCTCGAACCCCGAGGATAGTCTTGGACCTTGTCTCTCCTCTCCCCAGCTACACCCGCAGTCAGTAAAGACAAAAGGCCGCCTTGACATCGCCCTGCAGGGGTGCTTTTTTACTCGCAAGTCTTTGCGCGCAGACGGCTTCGGCCTCGCCCAGCGCTGTCCTTGATGCAGGATCGCTCGCGTCGCCGGAAGGCCTTGGCAAAACCGGCTCCATGTAGCTCGCTTTCCGAAGCCATCTTCTGTTATCCCCCCCCGTTTCGTCTACCCCGAGAGGAGGGAGGAGGAGGAGCAGGAGGAGGAAGAGGAAGAGGAAGAGGAAGAACACGACGATGACGCCGAGGACGATGATCAGAGCGTGGATTTGGGAGGAGGAGGGTGAGGTTCAAGGATGAGTGAGGAGGATCGGGAGATATGAGGGTGGATCGAGGAGGAGGAGGAGGAGGAAGAAGAAGAAGAAGAAGAGGAGGTGGATCGAGCTCCTCCCCCCCAGCTTCGCCCGCACCGCCCTACCAACTAGTGGGAGGAGGAGGGCCGCCCCCCGCTCACTGAGCGCGTGCCACTGCTCGCAAAGTGCCCACCCGCGGCGGATCCAGGCCATTTGTGAGCACGCAGTTGCTTTGCGGGTCGTGGAGCGCGCTGGTCTGCCCGCGCCGCGCGCCCGAGATCGCGGCGCGGGTGCGCGAGTCCTACGCCACGCCCAGGAGCAGCGGGGCGGGTGCGCCGGCCGCGACGCGCTGCCGCCGGCAGGCCTGCTGCCGCCGCCGCCGCCGTCCTCGCCCCCAAACGTCGTCGCTGTCGTCGCGGTCGTTGCTGCTGCTGCCGTCGCCCCTTCAGTACCCTTGGGGTTCCATGGAGGCAGCTGTTCTTTGGACTCTGTCACGTTCACTTGAAGCTCACTTGCATGGATCGGAGTAGGGGGGGGAGGGGCGCGGCCCGGTCCAGAAGGAAATCTGGACCCCGAGCAAGTCGGGATCTTCTTGCACTCCTTTTTCGGCGCAAAGCTGTCTGAAAAGGCGGCAGGAGGGGGGTGGGGAATGCAATGCCCTGCAAGTCAAGTGGCTCAGGTCTAAAGAAACAATCATCATACTGTGAACAACGCAAGGGGTCGTATGCGCTGACGTTCGTGCGTAAGCTGCCCGCTTAAGGTCGCGCGCCAGCGCCCTTGCCTCCAATGCAGCATGCCACGCTGGTGGCCCGCGCAAGCCACCGCGTAAGGTCGCAGTGCCACCTCGCGTATGACCCCTCCCGTGCTTTTCGTCGCTCATGTTTTCGACGATCAGATAGTTGTTCAGTCATGGCGTGTTTCCTCGGCTTCGGCTTCTGGACCAGTTCTTGGGCCCCCAGGCCATCAAACACAGGTCCGGGACCGTGCGGATTCGCTGATGCATCGGCGATGCATCGCCGATTCCAGGTGAATGTTTCCGCCCCCCCGAGCCGTCCCCCCCACGCTGAACTCAGGCACGGGAACTGAAGGGGATCGGGGCGTCATGGGGGCTCCCGCCCTTCCGAGCCCGCTCAACGACCGAGCACCACTGGCCACCGAGCCTGCACCCGGAGAATGGGCTCAATAACCCCACGGTGTGATGGGCCGTGCGAAGGCTTCGCGTTGCGTGCAGACAGACACCACAGGTAGTCCTGGCCGGCCGCAGGTAGTCCTTGCCGGCCTCAGCAGGCCTCACGAGCAGTCCAAATTGGCCTCAACAGCACCCCCGAGTAGCCCCAGGGCGGTCTCAACACCCCGGCGCCCAAGGCTTGGGGTGTTGAGACCGCCCAGGGCTACTTTCGGGGGCTGTTGAGGCCAGCTGGGGCTTCTCGGGGGATCCTGTTGAGGCCACTCGGGGCGCTGTCTGTGCGCAACCTAAGCCTTTCCGGTGGGCCGTCGATCAGGCTCGATCCTGCGTCCGTTGGACAGCGGGACGGGCTCAGACAATGGGCCCCGGGGAACCTTGGGGCAGGGCGAACCGACGATGGCCGCCAGAGGTCGAGGAAAGGAACACGGTGGCCATGACCAAGATGTCGCGGGATCCCGTCGACGCTAGTCTTGGTCATGGTCCACGCATGCCGTCGCCGATTCGCGAGGACTGTCCGCGAATTGACGGTGACCAAGGTGGACGGTGACCAAGATGGACGGTGACAAGATTGACCGCGATCAGTCTTGGTCATGGTCACCTCGTGCTTTTTCCTTCCAAGAGGGGGAAGGGGGAAGCGCGCGGGGTGAAAAGGCGAACGAGAAAATCCAGCCGCGAACCGGGAAATTCGGTCCCGAACGGGGAAAGGTTCCTCTGTCGAACGGTTTTTGTTTTCGGGCGAACGGGGAAATCCTCTGGGGGCTCCCAGGAAACTTTTCTGGTCGAGCGGGGGCATTTTTCAGTTATGTGAGGAGATGATGTTCTTGGCCGAAGGAGGATTGGTTCTTGGTGTTATCTTGTGTGTTGCTGGATGCAAGCTGCCCTACGTAGAAATGGAAATTGCTGGAAGGCACGGGCGGGTGCATTCGGCATTAGTTTTCGAACTTAGGGCTGGCTCTCCAGCTGCAGTTTCCAATTCCGTAGCCCCATCGCCGAGGAGCCACCCCTTACGGCTTCCAAAGGGAAGGCTGGGCCTTTTGGTCATCCGGCGGCGACCAGCAGGTGAGTTGCCCTCGTTTGGCAAATTTTGATCGTGGCCGTGGTTTTCAGGCAGGGGGCAGTTTTCATTTCTAGGGCAAGGGTTCCTACCAAGTTTTGCGCTCGAGGGTCGAAGCAGTTGCAGTTTCTTTCCGCGGCGGACGGCGGCGGTGGGGGGGCTGCGGAAGCCCGCGGGAGTAAAACGGCGCCGCCTCGTCGGCAGAGGCCGGCGGAGAACTGGCGGAAGCTGGCGGGAGTAGAAGATACGCTCCGAAGAGGGCTATTGGCATGTGATTGTTTTGTATTCGTTGTGTTGCCTATCGGCGCGGGCCCTCGCACCCCCCCCCCCTCCCCCCCCCGATGGAGTAGATCTCGGCTTCAGGCAGGCTGCGCTCCTCCCCCATAGGACGCACTGCTGCAAAGAGTCGCACGAAGCAGAGGTCTGGCGCCATACCCACCCTCCCGCCCCCCCCCCTTCCGCCCAACGTTCGAAACGCCGAATCAGAAAAACGCTCACCTTAACATTGAAAACTCGGGGTGGCCAGGAGCTCTTTGGAAAACGGGGGGAAGTTTCAAACTTTGGGCAGGCGTGTCTTATTCAGACGTTCGCTTTGCATTTTCGTGTAGCCGTTGCGCATCGGCAAAGGAGGGAGGTTCGAAGGCTGAAGAAACGGCTGCGTGTGCAGGGTTCCTTGCTTTTCGCGGTTGTTCGGGTTTTGCTCCGCGGTGTATGTAGGTTTCCAGCAGAAGTTATTTTTCTAGCGTCCGTAAGTTCCTTGTTCGGCGGCTCTTGTCACCATGTGATGCGTTGTATTTTGGCGTAGCGTTTGCCCGATCAACGGTACTTGCTCTATGGTCGAAAGCTTGGTGTGGCCGAGGATTTTCGGATAATTGCGAGTTTTCAGAATTCTGACAGGCGTGTGTTATTGAGGCTTGCGTTTCGCATTTTCATGTAGTCGTTGCGGATTGGAAGAGGGAGGTTCGAAGGATGGGTTTGGGCCTGCGGAAACGATTGCGTTTACAGGCCTCGTTGCTTTGCGGGCGTTCGGGTGTCGTTCCGTGGTGTTCGGGGGATTCCAGCAGGAGTTTCCTAGTCCATCGTCCGAAGGTTTCCTCTTTTGACGGCTCTTGTCATCATGTGATGGGTTTTTGTTTGGCGTGGCGTTCGCCCGATCAGCAGTCGTTGCCCTACTAATGAAGTGGCCTGGAGCTTTTCGGGAACCTAGGGATTTTCAAAGTTTGCGCAGGCGTGTGTTACCCAGGTGCTCGCTTTGCATTCGTGTTGATCAGCCGTGTATAGGAAGAGGGAAGCTCAAAGGCTGGAGAGGGGTTCTAGAGAAACGGTTGCGTTAACAAGGCTGTGCGGAGGTTTCCGGCATAATTTTCTTATTCCAGCGTCTACACGGTTTCGTTCGACGGCTCTGGCAATCTTGTGATTGTGTTGTTTGCTCTGGCGTTGCGTTCTCCCGATCAATGGCTACGGCCCTAGCATTGAAAACTCGGGGTGGCCAATAGCTCTTGGACAAAAACGGGGGTGCTTTCACATTCGCGCAGGCGTGTTTTATTCAGGTGCTCGCTTTGCATTATCAGGTGGTCGTTGTGCATCGGCAGAGAAATGGGGGTTCGAAGGCTGGAGCGGGGGTCTAGAGAAACGATTGGTTTCAAGGGCTCGTTGTGCTTCGCAGGTGTTCGTGTTCCGCTCCGTGGTGTGTGGAGGTATCCAACGGGAGTGTCTTATTCCAGCGTCCGTCGATTTCCTCGCTTGACGGCTCTTGCTATCATGTGATGGGTTGTTCTTTGGCGTGGCGTTCGCCCGACCAACGGCTACTGCCCTGAAATGGAAATCTCGGCGTGGCTTGGAATTCTTAGGAAGAGTTGGTCATCCAAATTCTGTGCCAAGTGTGCTATCCACGCGTTCGCGTTGCCTTTCCATGCAATCGTCGTGCATTACACGTGTTCGAAGTTGGAAGTTTATAATTTTATTGATATATGTGACTATATCATAGTTTATCAAACTCTTTGGGCGATGACCCGACATCCTGCAGCCCTTTGTTGCTCAAGAAAGAGAGCAGCCCTCCCTTCCCCTTTCTCCGCGACGGGGGTGGGGGAGCACGTGCTTCATGCAACCGTCGTGCACTGGAAGAGGGAGGCTCGAAGGCTGGGCTTGGCCAGGAGAAGCGAGTGCGTCTGCAGGGCTCGCTGCTTTTCGCGGGCGTTCGGGTGTCGTCCCGTGGTATTCGGGGGCTTTCGAGCAGGAGTCTCCAAGTCCAGCGTTCGTAGGTTTCTTCGCTCGGTGGCTCTTGTTATATCAAGTGGTGGGTTTTTCTTTGGCGTGGCGTTCGCCCGATCAACGGGTCCTGCCCTAACATTGCAAATTCGGGGTGGCCAAGAGCTCATTGGAAACAGGGGGTCAGCATTGAGGCAGGCGTGTGTTATGCAGGTGCTGGATTTGCCTTCTTGCGTAGTCGCCCGCGTATCGGAAGAGGGAGGTTCAAAGGTTGGGTTGGATCTGGAGAAAATATTGTGTTTACACGGCTCCTTGTTTCTCACGGGTCATCCGGGTCACGGCTGCATTGGTGAGATGAGGTTTTTGTTCGAAGGTGTTCAGATTCCCGTGGTGTTTGGTCGTCCTGAGTGGTCCAGCAGGGGTTTCTTCTTCCAGCGATTGTAAATACATTTCCTCGCGCGACGGGGAAAGTTTCCCCGCTCGCCCGATACAGTTCCAGACGCTTCGAGAATACCCACTAGCCCATCCAGACACGATGTCCATGTGAGTTGAGGTGATCAGGGAAGTGCGGGAGCAAACCGGTAGACGGCCGAATCGTGAGAAGGGGGGAGGAGGAGAAGAAGGAGGCTGGATGGAAGGATGATGGGGGAGTGGGGAGGAAAAATATGAACATGATGGTGATGGTGATGCTGATGATGATGATGATGATGATGATGATGATGATGATGATGAACATGATGGTGATGATGATGCTGATGCTGATGCTGATGCTGATGCTGATGCTGATGCTGCTGCTGCTGCTGCTGATGATGATGATGAGGAGGAGGAGGAGGAGGAGGAGGAGGAGGAGGAGGAGGAGGAGGGGGAATAGGAGGAGGAGGAGGAGGAGGAGGAGGAGAAGAAAGGAAGAGAAGGCGCAGGAGCAAGGCGGAACAGCTGGAGAAGGCCGAACAAAAAGGCCAGAGGTCTCTTCGATGCCTCTCGGAGCCTCTTGGGGTATCGCTCGGGCGCTTCTTGGTGGCCTCTTGGGACGTCTTGGGGGTCTCTTGGCGGTCCTGGGGGGCTCTTAGGCGTCTTGGGTGCCTTGGGGGGGCCTCTTGGAGCGTCTGGGGGGCATCTTGGATGCCTCGGGGATCCTCTTGAAGCCTTATGGGGGCCTCTTGGGGGTGATTGGGAGGCTCTTGAAGGCCTCTTAGGCCGTCTGGGCGCCTCTTGGGGCCCTCTTGGGGCGCTCTTGAGAGCTTTAGGGCCTCTTTGGGGGCCATCTTGGAGGAGATCGATCAAGGACTGGGGGGTCCTTAATTAGCGCCCCCCCTCGGGAGCCCCAACAATCATCTCTTGGGCCTCTCGTGAGGCGATCTTGGAGCGCTCTTGGGCGCTCTTGAGACCATCTTGTGGCTCTCTTGGGCCTCTCTTGGGGCCCTCGTGGGCAAGCTAGGAACTGGATTGAGGCCTCGGAAGGCCATCGGAACCGAAAAGGCGAGAAGGCAACACACATTGATATGCCTTAGGTGCTGGAAGGATTTTGGCTTCTTCGGGTCCTTGGGGAGCCCTTTGGCCACTTACTTGGAGGCGTCTTGGGGCGGTCTTGGGGCCTCTTGGAGCATCTTGGGAGCCATTTTGAGCGATCTTGCGCTATCTTGAGCCATCTTGGAGGTTATCTTGGACTCTCTGAGGCCCTCTTGGAGCCATCTTGGGCCATCTTGGACGCCCCAACGCGTCGCGAACCCCCCCGTCCAGGTCCAGGGGGATAGAGTTAGGGTGAGGGGTAAACCCCTGAAGAAAAGGGTGTTGGAAGAGGAAGCTCCCTAGACCACCTACGCCCAGAGGGCTGGTGGGATTTTCTTCGTTCGATCGGGGAAACAACGCCCGCCCGCCCAAAATAATTTGTTTGTTTGGTCTTGGGAAATTCCTGGTTCGCTGGGGAGACTTTCGTCGTTCGCCCGGTTGAAAATCGATCGCCCGACCAAACATTTTTCCATTCCCCTGGCGACCAGCGCGCGGCGGCACGCGCATTCTCGTTCGATTCCACCTTTCTCGGGGTGCTTCCGCCGCAGGCGCCGACCTACTGGAGGCGGCGCAACAAGGTGGATGGGAGAAACGGGAGTTTCCCTCCTTCCCCTTTTCGAAAACGAGCCACTAAACCTCTCCTGAGGCGTGTGCCGGCCAGAACTTCGAGGTGGACCCCCCCGTGGCGACAAGGAAACCCAGGCGAGCCCCCCAAACGTTGAACATACCCATCTCAATTCTCGGTCCACTCTTCTAGTTTTTTTACACTTGCATGGTTGAATTCTAGACGCTTCGCGTATCCCCACCAGCAGACTCCCTGGACTGACTTTCTGGACTCCCTGGACTGACTTTCTCGCACGGAGTTCCTTTCCCATTACCACGCGGTTGTCTCGGCACGACCACGACTGGGAACGCACTGCGCGCCATTTTGGCCGCGCCTGGCTTGCTCCTGGGTGACTGACCCCTCAGACTCCCTGGGTTGCAGCTTGCACGACCGCCTCAGGTGACTGACCCCTCAGACTCCCTGGGCTTGCACGACCGCCTGGAAGACTGACCCCTCAGACTCCCTGGGCTTGCACGACCGCTGGCCTCTCAGACGCCCTGGGTTGCTGCCCCCCCCCCGCCGCCTGATCCGCGGCCCCCGCGCGCGCCCGGGAATCTAGTCGCGGCCGCAGCCCGACCGTGATAAAACAAAGTATCCCCACCAGCCCGTCCAGAAACGACGCCCAGGCGAGTAGAGGGTCGTCCTGAGGGGCTTTTCGGCGTTTTGGGTGCCTCGGGGGGGCCTCTGTGGGCCGTTCGGGATCCTCTTTGGGGCCTCCTGGGGGCCTCTTGGGGCCTCTTGGGGCCATCTTGGGGCCTTTGGGGGCCTCCTGGGCGCTTCTTGGGGCCTCCTGGGCGCTTCTTGGGTGCCTCTGGGGGGTCTCTTGGGGCCTCTTGGGGGTCTCTTGGGGGCCTCCTGGGGGCCTCTTGGGGGGCCTCGGAGCCATCTTGGAGGAGATCGATCAACGAAGGGGGGTTCCCTAATTCCAGTCCCCCCCTCAGGAGCCACGATCCTCGTGAGGGGTGTCGAATTTTAGCCCTCCCAGGGGTCGTTCTTGGACGCTCTAACTACCCGCGGCCCCCCCTGTCCAGGTCAGTGGGGAGGGGGTAGGGGGAGGGGTAAACCCCTCCCCGAAGGGGAAGAAGGAGGGGTGGAAGAGGAAACTCGTTAAACCACCGACGCCCAGAGGGCTGGTGGGATTCAGAACTGGCGCTGGTGTATCCGTATTCGAAGCCGGCCTCATCTGGCCGAACCTGGCCGTATCAGGCTTAATATTTGGACCCTTCCGTTCTCGGTGTTGCAGCCTTTACGAGCCTTGGTAAGTTCCCCTCGTTTCCATGAAGGCTGCCCTGCAATTCCGTCCAGTCCTCTCGGGCTCCAGGACTTTGCTGGTGCAGTTCGGCAACGACTTCATCGACGAGACACCCTGGTTGCTGGGCACGCTGGAGGCGGCGGCCGCAGAGGCCAGCGGCGGCCTGACGCAGGAGTTTGCCCCCTCTTCCTCCTCCTGCTGTCCCTACTCCTTTTTTATTACCCCGACGTGTATGGAAGCGATCGCCGCGTAAGGGCGCTCATGCTGATAACAATGGACAACTAGACGCTTGAACACAATATAATGCAGACACAGTTCGGGCACAATAGGAGCAACTGGAGGGGATAATATGGCGTAACAGGGGATAACCCCGTAATTGCATAGAGGTGGGCACGACGGTTGACGGCAAGGATTTTCCCCCAAGGCACCCCGCCCATACCGCCTCACCTAAAGCATCTCCCACTTCCATCTTCATGTTCTGAGCCAATATTTGCGCTCGGTCAGGCCCCATGTGAACACGCCCATTCTTTTTATATTGTTGGAGAAAGGGCCGATGTGTATTTTTCCTTCGCCGTACCGTGGGCCCAGAAACGGTGACCACAAGTGCAGCGACATATTCTCTGATGAGTCTGGTGGGCGATCCTTCTCCTTGCCCTTTCTCTCCTTCTCTGACCCTCGTTTCCGCCAGTGGCCTGAAAGCGGCACACCTGCTGCATTCCAGTGAATATTTTGATGGAGTCCACAATTTACACTCCCAGACCCTTTCGAGTCATGAAAAGAGATCATGACGGAAGGCTTTCACTATTTTCAGCCTCTAACAGCCCTTCTTGGGCCTCGGGGCCGTCAGAAAACGACTCAGGAGACTGAGGATGAAAAAGCAAAACTGGGACCGGGTCGGGACTTCCTGGGGTCGACGTTGTGAAACAACCGCGACGTCGGGGGTCTGGAAGAGCAGGTGCCGTGATGAGAGGCCCAGCCTGGCCCTCGGCGTGTGCGTCCTGTTGCGCTCAGCCTCTGTGAACACCGCCTCCTCCCATCATCCGAGACGTCGCGCCAGGACACATCCGTGCCCTCGCCGACCGCGATATTGCCGCCGTCCCCGCCTCGTCGCCGCTTCGTCGCCGCCCGCAGTTGGCTACCGGTGCCTTCGCCGCGACTCCCGGTGGACTTCTTGCACTTGACACTTCATGCTGTCCCCAGAGCCGGCGGTGGCGGTAGCCGTGCTGGCCGAAAGGCGGGCTTATCGGCCGCGCCCTTGGTGCATCGCCCCCCCCCCCCTGCAGCCCGCGACAGAAGAATCTCGCGTTGCGGGCCGCCATTCGCGAAGTGAGGCGACCTAGGAACTCCAGGTCATGAAACATGGTGCAGCCCCTAACCCTAATAACACAATGAACTCGTGGTCTGACTTAGGTAATGGGTCTCAGGGCTATCTCTAAACATGTGGGTGGCTTCGTTGGAAACATGTGCAAAAAAACCTCAGATTCCTAATGTTCCTGGCCTTCCCAGCTTAGATTCCCGCCCAAACGATCAGAGGTATGTGTTATTGCTCCTCTTCAGGGGCAACGAGCGAAAGCTTGGGGAAAGGCTCAGTGGGGGACGCATCGAACCTCAATCGCCCAGTGATCGCAGATAGAGGCCGGATAGCCCCATTCTGCTCAGGAACGCGCGGCTTCGCTAGCGCGGGCCCATCGCCGATCCATCGGCGATGTATCGCCGGTTCATGGTAGATTGACGGCGGCGGCGGCGACGGCGGCCGAAAGGCGGACCGTTCGAGTCCGCGTTTCTGGCCGTTCTGGCCCCGGTTTCTTGCTCCACCCCACACCCCCGCCAAGCAGCGCCCGAAGAAAACACCATCGAACACCTAGGCCGGATCCCGATCCCAGGGCAGGTGCCGGCGGCGGCGACAGCGGCCGACAGGCGAACTTTTCGGCCGCGCGCCCAGCTCATCACCCCCCTGAAGAGCTGGGCGGGGATCGAGGGCTGCCTTGGAGGGGAAACCTGGGAGCCGGAGAGAGAATGAGAAGCCAGACGCCATTTGGCGCGTGGGCAGGAAAAGTGCGCATGCCAATGAAGAAGAAGAGGGGGCGCATCACGACTGTGACGCAGAACAAACAAGGCGCAGCACGACACGTGCGCCTTTTCCAAACATCGTGAGTTCGCCCCCCATGAAGCAGCGCCCGGAGAAACCATCAAAATCCCGATCCCAGAACCGGCGGCGGCTGCGGCAGCGGCGACGGTGGCCGACAGGCAGACCTTTCGAGGCCGTGCTTCTGGCCGTATCGGCCCCCGTTTTCTTGCCCTACCCCGTCGCCGCAATCAAGCAGTGCCAGAGGAAACCACCAAATCCTTGGGTCGAATCCCGATCCCAGAAACAGCTGCGGCGGCGACGGCGGCCGCAAGGAGGACCATTCGAGGCCGCGCATCTGGCCGTTCCAGCCATTTTTTCTTGCCCCGCCTCACCCCCTCCATCATCAAAATCCTTGGCCGCATCCCGATCCCAGAGCCGGCCACGGCGGCGGCGCCAGCGGCAGTGGCGGCGGTGGCCGAGCGGCGGACCTTTTTTCTGGGCAGCGTGGGCGGCGCATCGCCCCCTTCCGCCCCGAGAGGAGCCCGCCGGCGGCGGCGAGGAGCCCGGCGGGGAGGCGGCAGATGGTGCAGCGCGGCGGGGTCGGCTGCAGGTCGAGGCCCGCCCTGCGCCTGCCCACGCGGCGCCCCGCCCGCGCGGCGCCATGCTACAGTCGAAACGGATAGTGAGGACGGACAACCTTCCCAAGGGTAGTCACCTCGGAGGAGGAAGCGGTACCCATACCGCTACCCGTTCGCCCGTTTTCGCTTTTCTTGGGCCTCCTGGTGGGCCATCGTCGCCACTGCTGGATTCGCCTCGAAACTTAGTCCGAACGCACCCCAGAGGAGAGGTCCGGGGAGTAGCGGCATAGTATCGGTACCTTTTGGTTTCCCCGTTTGCATCCTTGCATCCTCGGTCCACGAAACACTTTTAACCTCTTCGATTGCCAGCCCCGCTCGAGAAGCGTCGACATGGGCGTCCAAGAGACTTCTCTCAACATCGCGCATCCTTACTAGCAGTTTTGACTGTATGGGGAGGCTGGAAGTGGAAGCATACTCGGCGAGTGCAAGGGGTGTGGTTACGCCAGGGTGTGATTCGCGATCCGCGCCGTTGGGGCTTTCGGGGGCACCACGTTGCCCTCGTCGAGTGACTGTGTGGGGAGGCTGGACATGGAAACACCCCCGGCGACTACAAGGGCTCCTTCGGGTGTCTAGCTTGTACTGAAGAGCAAAACGATGCATAAACATAAACTTGCGGCGGTCCGCGCGGATTCCTTGGATCGGCGCCGCGCCCGCATGCCGGCGCCTCTGGCGCCGCCCCCAGCGCGCTCCGCGCGCCAGGGAGGGGGATTCAGCGGGGGTCGTGGATCTCCGACAGTTTCTGTCCAGGCAGTTGTTGTTCCTCCATGGTTCGCGGGACCGAGAACCCCAAGGTTTAGTCAGGAGCTGCGGGCCATCCCTACTGTCGCCCCAGGTGGGATCGCCCGCGCCTCGGGCGTCCCTGTCTATCCCTCTGCCCAGGCCGTCCACACTGCAAGGAGGAAGCAGGTTATACCGCTGTGCGTCCTGGAGCTCTCGTCGCCACGGCTGGATTCGCCTCGACATTCTGGTGAGAACGCGCCTCGGGATAGGTCCGGGGAGTGGCGGTGTGTATATTGTTCTGTCTCCCCCTGTCTTCAGAGGAGGATGTACCGATACTGCTTGTTCGATCGTAAATCACGGAAGGTTCCGCTCGTCGTGGATTGATCGGATGTCGGTGAATAGCGTCCAACAGTGCCCTTTAGCGCTCAGTATCGCCGACTAGTGTTCAGGTATCGACCTTTAGTGGCCAACAGCGCCAAACAGCTCCATGCGAGGGAGATGCATTGCATCATTTTGTCAGCTCTGCGCGCGATTGGGCGCTCTATTGGGCGCCTTGGGGACGACCAAAGGCTTGTGCGTGATGTTTTCTAACGTCGCTGTCCTCAGAGGAAGAGCAGGTACCAATACCGCTAACCCTTGCCTCATTTTCGCCTTTTGGGGTCTCCTGGGAGGCTCTCGTCGCCACCGCTGGATTCGCGTCGAAATTCTGGACGGAACGCATCCCCGTGGAGTTCCAGTGAGTAGCGCGGGAAGGCCAGGGACCAGAGAGTTCTCCTCCTCTGCGAAGGTCTGAGGTTTCGTAGGCCGGCCATGGACCCGACTCCATGGCGCGCGGAGCGCCTCTGCGGCGGCGCTCAGGCGCTCCGGCGCCGATCCGAGGAGTCGGAGCGAGCCTCCGCAGGTTTCTGCTTGTGGGCAGCGCGCAGAGAGTCCTCCTCCTGCTCCTCCTCCTCCTCCTCCTCCCTCCTCCTCCTCCTCCTCCTCCTCCTCCTCCTCCTCCTCCTCCTCCTCCTCCTCCTCCTCCTCCTCCTCCTCCTCCTCCTCCTCCTCCCCCTCCTCCTCCTCCGAGGGGCCCCCTCGCGCGCAGAGAGTCCTCCTCCTGCTCTTGGGAGGTCCGCGCTGATTTCTGGGGTCGGACCCCCCCCCCCCCTGCTGGCGCATGCGGCGCCGCCCCGTGCACACCAGGCGCACCAGTGGTGGAGGATCTACCGCCGACCCAAGAGGTCCGCGCGGACATCTTAAGAAGAGGAGGAGGAGGTGCAGCAGGAGGAAGAGGAGGAGGAGGAGGAGGAGGAGGAGGAGGAGGAGGAGGAGAGGGAGGGGCAGGAGCAGCAGGAGGGCTTTCTGGTCTCTGGACTTTCCGCCAGGGGGGCGCTTCGATTCAACGTGAGTCATTGCGATCGGCTCGAAATGATTGATTCCCCCTGGCAGCGTCTTCGGCGCCGCCGCTTGCGCACTTCGCTAGCCAGGGAGGGGAGGTCTGACCGCCGAGCCGACCCGAGAAAAAACTGCGCGGCTCTCGCTCTTCATCCTCTCTCCTCTCTTGGGCCTCTTCGATTACTCGATCTGAATGCTACTCTCTTCTCTCGCCTCCGAGGATGGCCGGGGAGTGGCCCGCCCCCCTTCCGCGTGCTGTTGCACACGCGCACAGGGCACATGTTGATATGGCCCATGGCTTCTGTTCAACCGGAGCGGCTTCGGTGTCTCAAAATGGTATTCCCGCTGCAGCGCTGGCCTCATCTTCGCGTTGGCGCTTTGCTCCCATCGTTCAAGGTGGCCCTCTCGCCCCAGCACAGGCTGCTTTTCTAGATCCGAGTGTATGCTTATTATTGTCGCCCCGCTCCTTTCCCCTCCCCTGCCTTTCCCTGGTCATCATGCACCTTTCCGCTTCTCCACCTCCTGCTCCCGCTGCTGCTGTTCCTCCTCCTCCCCCTTCCTCATCATCCTCTTTCTCTTGGTTGTCATCCTGCTCCTCTGCCACCTCCTCCAATGTACGCAGCGCTCCTGTTGTGATTGCGCATGACAGAACGGGGTCCTTCGGGGGTTCGACGTCCTCTATGATACCCGTCGGCGGATAGATGAAAGAGAAGCAGCTAAATTGGAAGGGATGGGTATATAGGAGGGGTAGGATCTTAGATTGACACGAGCGCATGCAGCCCTTCCTCCCCCCTCTCCCCTCCGCGGTTACATAAGCCCTGGCCGATACAACGCAGCCCCGAATCTGTGGACCGATTTTTACCTAACAGCGAAGACTGATAGGTTTCTAGTAGTCTTAAAAGAGAACAGCAGATGACTCCACAGGGGGGTCTGGGCGGGTGCCGGACAGGGTGCCGCAGAAGTCGTTTTAAGCAAACAGTCACACACTTCGTGCTCTTCGACCTCCCAGAACTCCATTCCCGGGCCACATTCTGAATGCCCGGAGCCAACTGTAGGCCACTTCGTGCTCTTCGACTTCCCAGAACTCCATTCCCGGGCCACATTTTGAATGCCCGGAGCCAACTGTAGGCCACTTCGTGGTCTTCGAGTCCCCAGAACTCCATTCCCGGGCCACATTTTGAATGCCCGGAGCCAACTGTAGGCCACTTCGTGCTCTTCGAGTTCCCAGAACTCCATTCCCGGGCCACATTTTGAATGCCCGGAGCCAACTGTAGGCCACTTCGTGCTCTTCGAGTTCCCAGAACTCCATTCCCGGGCCACATTTTGAATGCCCGTAGCCAACTGTAGGCAACTTCGTGCTCTTCGACTTCCCAGAACTCCCTTTCCTGGGCCACATTTTGAATGCTGAGGCAGGCTGATGCTGCGGTCGAGGCAGGCTGGGGCTGAGGCAGGCTGAGGCTGAGGCCGAGGCTGAAGGCAGACTGAGGCTGAGGCTGAAGCAGACTGAGGCTGAGGCTGAGGCAGGCTGAGGCTGAGGCTGAGGCAGGCTGATGCTGAGGCAGGCTGAGGCTGAGGCTGAGGCTGATGCAGGCTGAGGCTGAGGCAGGCTGAGGCTGAGGCCGAGGCTGAAGGCAGACTGAGGCTGAGGCTGAAGCAGGCTGAGGCTGAGGCTGAGGCAGGCTGAGGCTGAGGCAGGCTGAGGCTGAGGCTGAGGCAGGCTGAGGCTGAGGCTGTGACTGCGACTGCCGTTGCCGCTGCGACTGTCATCGCGAATGCGACTACGACTGCGAGAACAGCAGAATTCTACAACTGGATTTTCATCTGAATCTTAAGGGGAATGCTTTCAGATATGCTTCTACACATCGCTGTTAGGTTGCTTTGCCGGGATAATTCGCCTCCCCCTCGTCGTCGTCGTCGTCCTCTCCTCCTCCTCCTCCTCCTCCTCCTCCTCCTCCTCCTCCTCCCCCTCCTCCTCCTCCTCCTCCTCCTCCTCCTCCTCCTCCTCCTCCTCCTCGTCCTCCTGCAGCGCTGCAGCGAAAGACTCAACGATATGAGCTCCGACCGGTGGGCCCGGCGAGTCCACAATTGGATCCCAGACGGGCGCAGAGCCCACGGACAGCCTCTCGCGAGACGGTCAGACCGATTTCCGCTATACCCGCAGGGCTCGTACTTGGTGCTCCTTTGTTCGTTTGCTCGTTCCCCGTCGTCCTCCTCCTCACCCTGTTCCTCTTGCTCCCGCCCCGCTCCCCGCTTCTCATCCCTCGTCTTTCTCGGCCATCCTCCTCCTTCTCCTCATCCTCTTCCTCCTCCTCCCTGGGTACGCTTTGCCTCCTCCTCCTCCTCCTCCTCCTCCTCGACTATGGTCCGGGAGGGACTTTCGCCGCTGCCTGTCATTATGCTCGGTAGCGCGCATCGGAACAGATACGCGCCCCCAGGGTACCCGCACCTCCTCCTCCTCCTCCTCCTCCTCCTCCTCCTCCTCCTCCTCCTCCTCCCCCTTCTCCCCCTCCTCCCTCCTCGCTGCTCCGCCCCCTCCCCGCTCCCCCATCTGTCCCCCGCCCTTCTCGCTCCCCCTCCGGCGGCCGCTCTCCCTGCCGCCGCGGCCGCACGGGCCGCCCCCGCAGCGGCTGCCCCAGAGTGGGGCACGAGGGTCCCCGCTTTCGCAGCAGAGAGGGAGGGGGTCCCAGCCCTCCCAGACGAGCAGTTGCAGCCCCCCCCCCCCAAGACCTTTTGCCCAGACCCCCACGGAACCCTCCAAGACAGCCCAAATCAGGCCTCCCCACCCGAACGTGAAGTCTGGAGTGCCCCCTTTACCCCCGATGCCCCAACCTTCTTTATCCTTGACCACCAGAAAGAATTTCGAGCACCAGGAAAGTACCGG